ACCCAGGCCCCGAGGGCCGACCCCAGGGGCACCCGGGCTCGCGTGTCTGTGTGTTGGGGAGGGGTGACGCCGGAGTTAAACTTAGGGAGCCCCAGGAACCTCGAAAACCTGGCTTCTCTTTCCTTTGGCCCTTTAGAAACTTGCTTTGTTTGGGGACAGACGGGTTAAAGTAAGCCTGGGAGGCATCATCAATTGTCTTCACGGGATGAGTGAAGTTGGTAACTTTTCCATTCATGGAAGTGATAGGATCTTAGTCTTAGCCTCAGTCCCTATTAAAGAGAAACATCCTGATTTTATAGATCTGAGGCGTGTGACCATTTACAAGTTATTTGTGTCCTGTCTCGTGGAAGTGCACTGCTTGGAAGGGGGCCATAGAGAGTGCACGTTGAATTTAATCTCCTTTGAGTATGTTTTTTACACGTGTATTTAGAGAATAGAGACAGAACAGCGTGTTGTTTACCATGGTTCTGGTACTCCATTCCCCTCTCCCTGTATCTTGTTTTTCTTTCTGAGCCATGTCGTAAGTCTCGGATAAAAGATGCTTGGGAAGGAATTGACCTTTTATTCCAAAATTACTTTGTTGACTGGGATCCAAGATGAAGTTATTTATGGGCATGCTGGTATCAGTGTAGATTAACTTAAAACTGTAAATACAAAACCCCAAGCTTTCTTAGCTTTTCATTTCTATTTGCTACATTTCAATACAGTTTTGTGTCGCTTAGAGACCTAGTAAATTATATTAACAGAATTTTGTATTTGCTCATATTTATTAAGCTTTTCCAAAGTTGTTGACGGGCAGAAGGGAAAAGAGTAGCATAAAATGTAAGATGAGGGTTTTTCTAAGAGTTCAGTTTTTCAGTATGCAGTTTTTGCTGAATCACTGTTCTTTATGCTTAGTCACTGTTTCTTACTACAGAAGTTTAATTGGGGATAATATGGTGTTTTGCTAACTTTTTAAATTGTCAATTTGTTTTTATCTGGTAGTGTAATGCGGTGACATAGCTTTTTTGGGTGTGTGATTCTGGAAATGTTAGTGGGTGGAGTTTTGTGAGTGTTACCAGAGAACCGAAGTTTCCGATATAGGCAAACTTTTATGCATTCCAAGTGTACTGGATATTTAATTTCAATCCAGTATTTCTCTATGGTTAGCATTGGAGACTTTTAAAAAAGTATACAAAGTGTCCTAATAAAATACACTGTTGAAGAAAAATAATACGTATTTTGAGATAATTTAGAGAGGTGCTTTAAGGTCACCAAAGTAGACCTTTTTAATGTGTTTACTGTTTGATATATTACTGAAATGTGAATTTTAATGGCATCAGCCTTATGCTGTTCTGTATGGTTTTTGATAAATCTTTTAACTAAGTTACCATGACTACCATGCTGTGGAATGACATTGTATTTGTAGAATTCATCAATATTAAAGTCATCAGTCAAAAGGCTGTACAAAATATTATTTAATTTCAAATTTATTTTGATGAAATAGGTGGGATTGACCTTGGACTGGTGGTTTTTACACTGTAGATAACTAGATAGTTAATGAGCATCTCTTAATTACAGCCCAGTCTGTGAAAATCTTTTACAAAAAGGGTATGTCTTTTTCTTAAGAGTGGGTAATGTTAGCATCAGGTAGTTCCTCATATGATTGCTTTTAATCAGCTTCCTAAGTATAAATGACCTGATGTAAAAGTGATTGTACGTAACGGTTTGTGCATGCGGATGTGGCGGTTGTGTAAAGCGGGGTGCGTCCGTTTTCTGAGGAATGCGTGTTTGTATCTTGCTGGACACACGAATACTATAGCCGACTTTTGTGGAGTACGAGGTTGTTTTCACAGCACGGTAATTACCTCAAGGTCATCTCAAGCTGAGATTCCTTGGAAGCCCATATTCCCCTGTGCCATGCTGCCCCTTTTAATAAGCTGAGTTCCACCATTTGGGCGGATTATTTTTATCTGAGTCTCAGCTCAAATAGCTTCTGGTATGAATATTAAATATTTATTAATATATGTTATTTTAATTTCTGATGTAAGTCTGCAGTAATTTTGTTTGCTTATTTAGTGGAGAACAATTGCACGTAGTTAGGACTTCCACTTTGGAATAAGCTACCCACGTCCATATTTAGAAATGGAGGAGGTATGTTATGATTATATCATAAATGGAAGGGTGAAAAGTTGAAAACAAAATTCCATATAATTAGGTCATCATTCTGTAAATAAAAAGTCAGAACCAAAATTTAATAAAAGAATGTATACAGTGTAACCAATTTAGCCATTTTGGACTCATCAGTAGGGCACTGCTTTGAGTTGGGAGTTTAATGATCTTGGATTTTGATCTTGTCTAGGCACCTCACCCCCTTTTTTAAACCAGTGAAATAAAACGTCCAACTGAGGTTGTAGATTTATTATGGTTTTTAAAACTGAGTGCACCTGATCAGTAAATCAGCCAGCAGATGTTTGTATTTACTATGCAGTAGCACCTCCAACTATACAAGAAGGATGAGACTTGCTCTGGAGGAATTAAAAGTGATTGCTAAGTATGAAATTACAGTCCTACTTGTGATTATGGTTAACTAATTGAACAAGTCTGTCTATAGTTCCATTTCAGCCTTACATTGAAGCAACATTTTATTGTCTCAGTGGAATTCTTTTTTATCTAATATCATATTAATTGTAATATTAAGGAAGTAGGCTGACGCCACTTCCTTTTCTGAGCTTCCTTTCCTCACCCTCTATATACTCAGGCAGCTGCACACTTGCAGACACCTCCACCTCTGCTTTTCTTTTCGAACCTAATGCCTCTATAGTCAGTAACCTGTAACCAGACTGCAGGGTTGATTAAGGAATTTAAATAGTGCAACAATAGACAGGTAGATGTTTCCTTTTGTGACTTTTATTACTATTATTTTTTAAGATTTTAAAACAATGGAATATTGAAATTAATTTTACTTGATTTACTTTTCCCTTTAATTTGCTTTTTTGATGGACAGTTTAGCTTATTTCATATAAAATGCCTGGAACATATCACCTAGATACTCAATAAATGTTTGAGTACTTTTGACTTTTTATAGCTGGTACAATGAGGTAATTTTGACTCAATCTGGTTGACTAATTCTAGATTTATAAAGTATCTTTTTATGAAGTATGTAGTTTTCCATGAAGTCAAGAATTGTTTTGGAATCCATCTGCTTATTTCTTGTATTATAATAATTTCATTTATTCATGTTTTTTCGATAAGTGAAGCTCTAATTGAGGCACAGTTTTGAATTCAGGGAACACAGGAATGAATGAGACAGAGATGGTGCCTCCTTTGTGGAGCTTATAGTTTTCCCGTGGAGATAGATGTTTAACAGGGTAATGATTTACTTCAAGTTATGACTAGTATTACCAAGGAAAAATGCAGTGTGTAATGAGCACATAAGTATAATACGGAATCCATACCATACCTTGCCTTTGGGTATGTGGAAAAGTGACATTTAAGCTGATAAAGATTTGAGGTAACAGTTGGGGAAGTAAAGGAGTGTGTATGTGTGTGTGTGTGTGTCTGTCTCTTGGAGGCAGAGGCAGACATTAAGAACAGCCTGAAAAGCTGTGTTGAATATTTGGGTGACTTGATTTAGCATATTTAAAATCGTGCTGATTTGCAGTGCTTTATTTATTTATCGCCTTATGTATTGTAATGAATTTGGAAAAATAAAGGAATTCTTTTTTGAGGGCAATATCTTTCTGTCTAGAAATAGCCTTAAATGACAAAGTCTCATTTCGTTGTATGTGAAAATGCCATGCCTTAACTTGTTTTTATGGATTGCTTGTCAGCCACAGATTATGAGTTGGCCTAGAATTTCTGTTAGAGAAAATTGAAACTATTGTAAAACATTTACTCTTTTACAGTATTTTCTAGTCTAATGAAACTTTTTCCAGTCATTCAACTTTAAGTGTAAATAGATATGTTATTTGGAACGTTAAGATTGTTTTTCAAGAGAGTTTATTTTTAAAAAGTTAATACTGAGGAGTTTTAAATTAAGCTCGTCTTGAACTTGAAGCCTCAGTTTTAGCAACAAGTTTTCTGCTGGACCTGCTGTGTCACTGTTCAGCTGATAAATCAGGGATTGACATTTTAAACCCGTTTCATAGGATTTGTGAGCAATTGTGCAATACTTTTTGGAGGCATATTTAATTTGATAATAGCGATCTTGAAAGAGGGTGGATCTGGAACTTTTAAATTCTGAAACAGTACCCCAGAATACTTTTTGGGTATTGTCTACTGCATTTTAAAAAAACTTATTTCTTAATATATTTAATTGTAAAATGGACTTAAACTTGATTCCTTCTTTGTATAGCTGTTTTGAGAATGGTTAAATTTGTACTATTTCATATGTTTATACTGAGCATTATAAATGTAAGTTATTTTTAAAATAATTTAAAACTCTTATGTTCAAAGCAAAGTAATGTGCTATTATAATTAGAAAGGACCAAAAAGACTCTCTTGACCACAAGGGTGATTAAGTGTTGGAATAAACTACAAACAAAGTTGTGTAACCTCCATTCCTCGAATACCATCTTAAAATTGGATCACCAAGTTACTGAAGTGCTGTCTTATTTTCTTAAACTTTATAAGCATATCTGTTATTGTCCATATGTATTGATGAGATATAGATTTCAATCCTAGCTCTGCCACTTACTAGGTAGATGACCTTGGGTAAGTCACCTACGCTCTCTGTACCTCAGTTTTCTCTGGGTTGTTATGAGGATTAAGTGACATTGACATGATTCTACAAAGAAGGATAAAGTAGGGACATAGTGTTCCATTTTCCTTTAAGTCTACTTCAGTAAATAATAAATGTTGTGGACTCATTGCTGTGGATGCTTTTATTTTTATTATTATTATTTTTTAATCATTTCTTTTAGGGGGAATAAAGGGGGAATAGTGTGGAAGAGGGTATTTATTTTGAATATTGAGAGCCCTCTACTTCTATTTACCTTTCAGAGTTGTTGCTGTTTTGCATTTAACTCAGTTGTTTGTAATAGTTGCTATTTTAAACACTTTTGAATTAAGCATGTTTTGAGATGTGTTCTGCCTGGTATAATCATGTGATGTGCATGTAACATAAGGTGTTCCTACTAGTTCTGAGAGCCTTGGTCACTTCTGTTGGAACTGCTTGTGTTTTTAGGTTTCTCTGTTAGTAACAGTCACGTTTATAACCTTCAGCATGTGAGATGAACTCAGTCTAGTTGTAAAGTAAGAAAGCTACAGCTGTTTTCACAATCTAATCGCCCAGTAAAATTTGTCTTAATTCTTATTAAAGTTTCTCTTTGCTTAACTTACAAATGTCATCATTAGTCTGTCATTTCTTCTATTTTAACCCTTTTTAGCATGTCTATCTTCAATTTATAGGTTCTGTCTTTAGCTTTAAAATTTATAGGGATAAACATTCAGAAGTATTTAACTCATTTGTAATTTTTAAACACAGTTTTAAAATGTAGTTTTGTTGTTAAGTGTGTGCCTTGTTTTTTTCTGTCCCTGGCATCAGTTCACACCATAATATCAACTCAGAACTTTTCTACTTAATCAACAAAGCTCTGTCAATAATAGACTTTTGCTGTTTGAGTTTGAGGAAGATCAAGCCTGGACTGGAGAAAAAGAAATAGCAATTTGGGGAATAATTAGTTTACATTAGCCACCTAGAAGTAAGATAGAATTTATGGAAGAGAATATGTGAGAGAACTAGCAAGGCTTTATGCACTAAAGTGAAGAAAAATAGGCTAAGAATCGGCTTCTTATCCAGAAAATCATTATTAATTTAATTTGGAAAATTTTGAGGTGAGTTGCCTGTGCCATATACATGTAGAGATATATAATAAATAAGTAGCTGTAGAGATCTGAAATTTGGAAGAGGGATCTGGGCAGGAGGTATAGATGAGTTTTTAGCATATAAGTGGTAATGAAGCTTTTGAGAAATTGGGAGAATGTATAGAATGAACCAGAAATGACATGGATCCCTGAAGAAGAGTAATATTTTAGAAGAAAAGATTAAGGAATAACCAAAGAGGTAGGGGGAACACCAGGGAAATGTGAGACCATAAAAACTAAAGAAAGATAGTAGTTCAGAAAGGAGGAATTAGTCAACAAAATGATATAATGGCTAAGGAAGATGAGGTCTGGAAGAAATGCCCTTTGGATTTAGCATTGAGGATCTACATAGAGCGGTTTTAATGAGTGGTGGTAAAAGTAAATACACATTAGAGGGCTGAAGAGTATATGGGAAGTTAACGGGGTTTGTTTGTTGTTTTTCTTTTGAAAGCTTGACTGAAAAGGAAAAAAAACAGCAAAAGGGGGATATTGCTTTATTATACATGTTTTTAAAGATGAAATAGTCTTTTAAGTTTTTGCTGCTAATAGGAACAAGCCAATAAAGAAGTTGAAGATTATAGAAATAAGACATTGAATAGGCTAAGTAATTATAAGTAAATCAGTGCATTGTGCCAATACTTTCTCTTTTTTTGTATAAAATTTTTCTTGCTAAAAGCAGGAAAGAACATTAGTTATCTGTAACCCTCTCGTGTTATTTTGTGGGTACTATTTCTCTGCTTAAAATCCTCAGTGGTTTCTAACTGCTTAAAAGTCTGAACTCCTTAGAGTAGCGTATAACAGACTTTCCATAACTTTTCTTATTCCTGTCCCACCTCATCTCTCACAGCTACTTTGCACTTCACCTTGTGATCCAGCAATACTGGGAAACTTGAGGTTCCCTCAACATGTTTTGCGAATTCTTGCTTTTCTGTATTTGCATATGCTGTTACTTCAGCATTGAATGCCTCTCTTCGTTTCTAACCCTACCCTCCTGCGCTTAAGACTTCTCATCTTTCAAGACTACTGTGAACTCTTCTCTACCCCCCACCCATACTGATTTTCTCTGTCATATTGATCATATAAAAATGTGACATGATTTTACTTTCATCTCTGACCTCCTGCTGAAGCTCCTTGAGAGGAGGCACCATGTCTTCTAATCTTCACGTTGCCATACCAAACACAGAGTCTGGTACATGGCAGTTAAACAATAAATAGGTGTTGAATGAATGAATGGAAACTGTGGCCCTCAGAAGTAAGTGATTCGTCCACTGCCACAGAAGAGGAGCTAGAGCTTATATTTTTTGGATAAATGCCCTCTTTGTTTTAATTAAGGCTTACTCTGTTGTAGAATTTATTAAGGCATAGGTAGAAAGAGAGGTCGGTAGATGAAATCTTACATAAATTTATGTATTTGGAGGGAATATTAAAACATCTAATCAGGTTTTAGTTAAGTATATTCATGAAATTCAGATTATTCTCTTTTAGGAATATGATGAGGTCTCTGCAATGTGGAGTGCATCATAATCAGTTTAGTTAAAATTAAAAAGGTAAAAGCTGAAGCATTCTCTGAAATCTAAAAGTTAAATATTCATTAACTGGTTTTTGGCATTAATTTATATACTACACAATATACTAGAATTTAAGTATTATATTTTGAAATGTTTGGCCTGTTGGGCAGATTGTTATATGGTATATAAAAATGAACTTTTGACTTACTTCTTGAATTAAAGTGCTTAAGCTGTTTCAAGATGGATTGATTATATGTCAAATAAACTTGTTAAATGTTTATTTTATATATTTCATCCTCATATAAGCCAATAAACCTTTATGATTTGATGTTTTTCCTTAAAACAGTTTTTAAAAAAACGACCACTTTTTGCCTAACTTCTTCTTTCTTTTCCATCTCAGTAACTAGAGCTGGACTGGCCATTATGGAGGAGGGCCTGCAGCACTCTCACTGCGTGAATTGTGTCAGTAGACGGTGTATGACCAGACCAGAGCCTGGGATTTCCTGTGACTTGATAGGTTGTCCATTGGTTTGTGGAGCAGTTTTCCATTCTTGTAAAGCTGATGAGCATCGACTTTTATGTCCATTGGAACGAGTGCCTTGCTTAAATAGTGACTTTGGATGTCCATTTACAATGGCTCGAAATAAAGTTGCCGAACATCTAGAAATGTGTCCTGCAAGTGTGGTGTGCTGTACTATGGAGTGGAACCGATGGCCAGTTAGTTATGCAGACCGGAAATCATATGAAAATCTAAGCAGAGATGTTGATGAAGTGGCACAATTAGATATGGCCTTGGCCCTTCAAGACCAAAGGATGCTCTTAGAGTCTCTCAAAGTAGCCACCATGATGTCAAAAGCAACTGATAAAGTATCAGAACCTAGAGAACAGATCTCAGTTAAATCAAGTGTCCCAGAAATACCACATACTAATGGTTTGGTGTCTGTTGATGAAGACTCTTATGGTGCACTTTATCAAGCTACTGTTGAAACAACCAGAAGTTTGGCTGTTGCTTTAGATATCCTGAATACCGCCACAAGAGACATTGGCATGTTAAGTACGAGTCTTTGTGCTTCCCCAAATGAAATGAAAGAAGAAGAAAATGCCAGAGAAAGCTTACAGAACAGAAACTTGAAAGACCAGGACCATCTTTATGAGGATGAGATAGGGGCAGTAGGTGGGATTGACCATAATGACACAAGTCAGAATGCCCAGTCTGAACAAAATGGTTCAAGTGATTTATTATGTGACTTGGATGCCAGTTCTTATGGCACTTCTGCTCTTTGTAATGGCTTTCCTTTAGAAAATATATGTACACAGGTCATTGAGCAGAATCAGAATTTACATAGCGACTCAAAACAAAGTAACTTAACAAATAGAGAATGTGTAGCATCAGATGGCCCTTCAGAACCTTCTAGTTCACTTTCAGTAGCAGCACAAGTTAGGGAAGTAATACCAGCTAATGCTTTGCCTAATGGCACAGTTCAGCATATCCTCATGCCAGATGATGATGAAGACTTGTGTTGGAAAAAAGTAGACTTAGGGGACCTAAGGAATGTGGATGTCTTATCTTTCAGTCATCCTCCTTCATTCAGATTTCTTTCTAATTCATGTTGGTCTAAACCAAAGGAAGATAAAGCAGTAGACACATCAGATTTGGAAGTTGCAGAAGATCCAATGGGTCTCCAAGGAATAGATCTAATCACAGCAGCATTACTGTTTTGTCTAGGAGATTCTCCAGGTGGGAGGGGTATATCTGATAGTCGCATGGTTGATGTTTATCACATCGACTTTGGGACTCAGACTTTTTCACTTCCGTCTGCCATATTAGCTACAAATACAATGGTTGGGGAAATAGCTTCAGCTTCAGCTTGTGATCATGCCAACCCACAGCTTTCAAATCCAAGTCCTTTTCAGACACTTGGGCTGGATTTAGTATTGGAATGTGTCGCTAGGTACCAACCCAAGCAGCGTCCAATGTTTACATTTGTTTGTGGACAGTTATTCAGAAGAAAAGAATTTTCATCGCATTTTAAGAACGTGCATGGTGACATTCATGCTGGACTCAATGGCTGGATGGAACAGAGGTGCCCTTTAGCATATTATGGTTGTACCTATTCTCAGCGTAGATTTTGTCCATCAACACAAGGAGCAAAGATTATACATGACCGCCATTTGAGGTCATTTGGAGTTCAGCCATCTGTATCTACAGCGTTAGTGGAGCCTGCTAGAAACTGTGTGTTGGGATTACATAGTGACCATCTAAGTGGTCTTCCTTTTGAAGTCCTGCAACATATTGCAGGCTTTCTTGATGGCTTCAGTTTATGCCAGCTCTCGTGTGTATCCAAGTTAATGAGGGATGTGTGTGGCAGTCTTCTTCAGTCTCGTGGAATGGTCATACTGCAGTGGGGGAAAAGGAAGTATCCGGAAGGAAATTCATCATGGCAGATAAAAGAAAAGGTTGGTTTAATTTAATTGTATCAGTCCCTTATTTGACATATAATAGGCACTTAATAATGTTGTTGCTGAATTAATAAAATTAACCTTGTTGCAAAATTGACCATCCTTAAAACTTAATAATTCAGTATGATGACAAACTTTTTTATAACGATAATGAAAGCAAGAATAGTTAGAATTGTTAGTCATAATCACATATTTACTGCAGACATCCTAGAACTAGATTCTGATGTCATACGACAGAGGCCACTTCCAGTTCTTCAGTTGAGGGGTTCTGTACCTAGTTACTTCTTCTGTAACAGCTCCCTTTGCTTGAGTCCATGTTAGCCACCTTCTAATTTGGGCTCCATCTGAAACGTTTTCACCATAGGACAATGGAGGAAGCAAGGAGAAGGTTTTTTACTGCTTGCAATTGGCAGTTTTGGTCTATTCTTAGCAATTTCTTTCTTAGAACTTGGTTATTACAGGGAGAACTTAAATAAGGAGACATGAAAAAAAATCTACTCCTAGTAAGTGACCAATGGAGTATTTGGGGTATAGGGAATGTAAATGGATGGATGTGGAAATGTGTTAGGCTGAGGTGAGATAAGGGCAGTAGGATTTGATATTGTTGACTCTGCGTTTAGTACAGTACAAGGGAGTGTTGCAGATTGGAAGCTTTAGCTGGAGATTGGGAACGAATCCTGGCTCCACCGTTTTCCTCCTGTGATATCTTACTTTTGCCCAGCTTCTGTTTGAGGTACTATCCAATAGAAACTAGAAGGCATTACAAATACCTTTGATTGAAGGTGTTTTTTCATTTTAGAACATTTATAATATGAAACTTTGATTTTATAAAGTAGAAAAAAATTTGATAAACTTCACATTGGTTGAACAGGGTTCACATTTCTGGCTACTTTGTTTTTACCACCCTTAGGTTTTCTCTTATTTCCACTCATTGCTCCAGTTTTTCAGAATTCTGCATCTGCTTTTGTGTTCTCCTGAAGCTTTGACCAGTAAATGAGCACGCTAATTATTTTATGTAGAAAATTTCATACTTGCTGCATATATGTGGGTATGTGTGTATTTTCATTTTCTACATGATTTGGTGTCCTTCTGCCATTTGGAATGAGACACTCAGAGCATGGCCCGTTTTTGTCCTTGCCCCCCCCCCCAGTATTGACCTATGAGGTAAAATATTTTCTGGGGGTTTTATTGCTGCAGAAAACCTCATCTACTCTTGGAGTTTGAATTGCCATCATTTATTCAAATTACGTGTGTATATCCTGGCCATTTTCTCCTCTGAACTCCAGTCCATTATATACAAGCATCTACTGGACATCTGCACTTGATTATGTCACAGCTTCAGCGAACTCAACAGGTCCAACCTACTCCACTTTTCTACCCCTCTTAATCTCAGAAAATGGCATTTTCATCTCTGAAGCTGCCTAAACTAGGAATTTGGGAGTTAAGGTTGACCCCTTTTTTCCCCCCCTTTATTTCCATATCCAGGTAATCACAAAGTCCTGTTGTCTCCCCTTCTTCATAACCTCTCAGGTTTGCTTACTGTTTCTACTGCGGTTTCCCTAGTTAGTCCCGCCTGTAGTTGTCTCCTGGGTTACTACAGTAGCCTCTTCCTTACTGGGTTTCTGTTTCCAGCTGAGTCCCTCTCCAACATATTCTCTATAGAAGAGGTAGAGTAATAAATAATTTCTTAAATACGGTTCTTATGCTGTAGTGCTTGAAAACTTCTTAAATGTCCATCCATTGCCCTGGGGTAGAGGCAGACTCCTTGATGAAACATTTAAGACTTTTCATAATCTTGTCCTCACTTACCTCTTCAGTTTCCTTTTGTCACTTTATATTCCAGCCATGGAATTTATTTAGAGTTGTCTGATGTTTTCTTCTTGCCTTAAGGTGTTTGAGTACACTGTCCCTGATACCTACATTTGAACACTTGAGATGTTCTAGGCAGTGTGTACTTTACTTTCGTTAATGTATTTAATCTACTGTCCCTATTTCATGGATGAAGAAACTGTGGTTTAGAGAGGTTAAGTAACTTGTCCAGTTGGTGGATTCAGACCCTGGGAACCTATTTCTGGAGGTTGTGATCATTATCTCATTGCTATATCCTCCTTACTCTTCAGATCTTACTTTGTCAAGAAAGCCTACTCCGCCCCGTTGAAGCCCTTAGGGAGGTGCACTGCTCTGTGTTCTCCTGGTGTTCTATTATATACCTCCTACTCTATGTACCCATACTGAAGCACTGACCATGCTGTTTGGAAATTCACTGACGACTTGTCAGTTTCTTTCATTAGACTGTAAGTTCATTGAGAAGTGAGACTCCCTGGGAACCAAAATATTAACTGCTTTGCATAGCACCTCACATATAGCAGGCACTAAGTAAATACTTGATGTAAACTTGGATGCAAAATTGGCCTATGACTAAGAAACCTTGTCATCAGGAGATGGGAGCTGTCCATTTTTTCCTGAGTTTGTTTCACCAGACTCTTGACTATGTGGAAGTAGGGAAACTGTCTGCCACCATTGAATCTTTCAGCAAATTCATTCTGTGAAGCTTAACAAAAACTCCTAATTCTTAGTATAGTTTTGTGGTTATGGGGAATTGTAATCTATAATGTCTATTGTTAGCTGCTGTCCAGGCCTTCACTGACATCTGGGAAATGACTCTATGCAGGGTAATTGATATCAGCTTAAGAAGTATAGCGATTAAGTACCTTATGTGCTGAACTATTCTACTGCTGGCTGAAAAATAATTGTGTTCAGAATTTGAAGGCATCTGGCCACCCCAGAATTCATAGCATTCTTTTCTGAGAAGCTCTAATGAGTGCTGAGGGCATCTCTCAAATTCACAGCTGCTTTCTAGAGTATCTGCTGTTTGCCACGGGTTCAGTGTTCTCTAGACATTTGCTTGTTGATTAGCTTAGCTAGGATGCCTGGGCCTGTCTTGCTTGTTACCTATGTTCAGGTAACTTTATATTTTCAAATTGTAAAGATGAGAGGGGGCCACAACAGTCATTGCTGGACCTATAAGGTGACAGTGCTTCAGGGCTTGGAGCTGCTGAGTGGGCAAAAGGGAAAGTAGTTCTTATTTTTACCAAAACAGGGATGGCATATAAATATTTTTCCCAGAAATGTATTTTACAATGATATGGAATTAAAAAATGATTCATTTTACAAAAAGCTCTATAAAAATTTCCAGAAACATGTTGAACAAATTGAAGCACTTGTGTTCCTCGTTATTACTAAGTGTGTTTACTACTTATAAATAATGAAAAGAAAAAGTACCTTGGCACAAAATATTCTAGAGTATTTTTTAGTATACTTCATATGGTGTAACAGGAATGGGAGAAAAACTTGGAGAAAAAAATAACACTTGTATTGTCAATATCTCCAGACTATGGATAGGTCTGTATATATATATATATATATATATATATATATATATAGACATTTGGATAGGATGAAAGCCTGGTGTACAATATGCAATATTTTAGGAAGAAGCTCTGAATATTTTATAAAAATTGCTTAATAAGTAAGCCAGGTTGGATGTGATTTTCAATGTTGAGCTTTGTTTTCTTTCTGGTTATTATATTTATTGAAGTTATAATGTCATAGGAATGATTTATCTTACAAATATTTGATAAACAGATTTGTACCCAAATGGATTACTACTTCCAGTTTTGTAGCTAACTACTTGAAACTTTATATTAGATATTTCTCTTAACAGTTAGAAATGTATGCAGTTAGAGCAAGAATTATGCTTTGATTCTTGTAAGTTGACTTGTTTAAATCTGAAGTAGAATTTTCTTCTAGGTATGGCGATTCAGTACTGCATTTTGTTCTGTCAATGAATGGAAATTTGCTGACATCCTAAGCATGGCTGACCACTTGAAGAAATGCAGTTACAATATTGTAGAGAAACGGGAGGAAGCAATCCCATTGCCGTGTATGTGTGTGACACGAGAACTCACTAAAGAAGGACGTTCACTTCGCTCAGTTTTAAAACCTGTACTTTAAATACTATAATTCCACTTGCACATACATGCAAGCACCTAGTATAATTTCTTGGTAATATGTGACACTTTATTAATGTATTAAAGATTACAGCTAGCTAAATTCATTGTCACTATGTATATAATGTTTTGAAGTGACCTATATTTTTATAAAGTACTGTTTAGTTGGAAAAAAGTTGCCTTAATGTTTGAAATGTGTGAATGTTTTGGAACTTGCTGGACAGGGTGATTTAATTTTTAGCTACATAATTTTCAGAATTAGTATTTTTAGTGGTGTGCATATTTTGGTTCTTACATTTTTTGCTTCTTAAATAACAAGATCCTGACCAAACAATTTATTCCTCATTTTCCGTGGGTTATAACCTATGCATTCAAAAATCAAAACTTTGATTCTAATTTTTACATCATAGGCTTTTCAGATTCAGAAAACATTCAATTGCTTAAACACTGCATAAGACCATTATAAAGTTTTTATTTTCTAGTTCTCCCCTTACATAATTGTTGATATGTAGATGATCTCTAATATATACATAATATTTAAAATCATGAGTAATGTTGATAATGCCATTTATCATGTTTTAAAAATAGTCCACAAAAATGTTTTCACCTTACATATTTACAACTCTCATACAGAGTGTTGACCATATGCAGCTTTTTTTGGTTAGATGCCACATCCAGAGACTCATGGCAGTGTGTTATGTGACAGGTTAAAGGAAAATCAACAAAAGAACCCTGTGAATTTACTTTAATTTGAAACTGTATATGGTATTATATGCTAGGTATTTGATATTTGGAGAGAAGAAAATACAGTTGGCCCTTCATATCTGCAGGTTCCAAATCCATGGATTCAACCAAAGGATGGAAAATATTTGAAAAAAAAATTCCATGAAATTTCAAAAAGCAAAACTTGAATTTGCCACTCATCTTCAACTATTTATATGGCACTTACATTATATTTACAATTACTTACATAGCATTTATATTGCATTAGGTACTATAAATAATCTAGAGATGATTTCCAGTGTATGGGAAGTATGCGTAGGTTATGTGCAAATACTATGCCATTTTATGTAAGGGACTTGAACATCTGTGACTTTTGGGACCGTAGCGGGGTCCTGGAACGAATCTTCTGCAGATCCTGAGAGATGACTGTATACCTCATCTTAAGTCTGAATTGGGCATATTCCGTGAATAAATTTCAGATATTCAGAATGCAAAGGGCTTAACTTCTTATCACAAGTGTTTAAAATTTTTGCCTTTTGATGTTTATAAAAATCACAATTATGTTGTTTTAAGACATTTTAAAATGTGACACTTGCTATCTTTGTAAGATGACAATCATGAAACGCAGAAACCTTTGCAGGTTAATATTCCATAGACTTCTCTACCAAAAAAGTAAGAATTGCATCTTTGTGTAAAACCAAAATACAACAGAAAGATATTCAAAGACCTATTCTTGAGGTATTTTATTATAGTTTTCAAATTGATTTATACTGTTATTAACCTGATGTGGTCAGTTTAGAAAAATGAGTATATCAGTATTAAGAAATAAATTGCAAAGATGGAGATTTGTACTTAAATAATTTAGGTAACTTGTGGCATTTGGTAGTCTGAAATGGTTACAAGTTACTTTGCTAAAAATCTTCAAAGCTATTTTGTCTTCTTTTCCTACATTTGTCCCTGAGAATGCTCTATTAACTAGGTTCTTGATTCCCATGTATGGCAATTGGGCAGGGCAGAGCCCTTCCTTGGGCATTACAAAAGGATTCTGAATTGCTTTAAGACTTGTTTTGGTTGGATCAAGGCCTCATTACAGTTGAAAAGCACAGCGTTAAAGACTAATCAATTGTTTTGCCTCACCTGTCATTTTAATTAGAAGAATATTTCTTAGTGCTTTAACCAACTATTTCAACTGTGAGATTTGAATTACATAAACAGTCTCTTTCTGTGAAAGTCAGAAATAAGATATCAAATACTATAAAATATAACTCTGCCTTTTAAAGTTTTGCTGAAGAATGTGTCTGGTTAGGATAGCACAAACATTAACTTTTTGTTTTATGGTTGTGCTTTTTTAAAATCCTTGTTTTTTAAGTTTAGACTCCATGTTTCCACACTGGATCATGAGATATTTAACATTTTCTACCTTTTATTTCTTTTACACATCTTTGGCTGTTTTCTTTTTTGTTTATGCCACCATACTATTTTGTTAAAATGTTTTCTTTGTGCAGCATTTGTTCAAATTCTAATAAAATTAATATTTTCCTTTATATGGCTCAGTAACTTAAAAAGAAAAAACTTATATTTAAATAAAATTTTAATCCTTGCTTGACAAATTCCAAACATAGTCATATTGTTTCTGTAGTGGGGATTTTCTGCATGTTGCAGGAGTTGCTTGTTGATTGTCATTGCTCACCCATGTTTTACTGGTGAACATTAACTTTTTTTTTAATATAGAAAACTCATCAGTTAGCTTTCTCTGCCCCTTCAGTGTCTTCTTGAAAGTAGTTCCACCTCGGGGTATTGAAAGGCTGAAGAGTTTCTGGCAATATTATTTTTCTAAAACTTTTAATGGGAACAGTCTATCTAACCTTTTAAGCATGAAAAGGTTTGTGTTTTGGCCAAGTAAGTTGTCATTTGAGAAGCCTTTGTTGATACTTTAGTCTTTGCTAACCAGCAAGATAAAGGGCAGGTATTAGGAAGGAGGGAAATACCTGAATTCACTTTTCTCCTCTGCCTTTTTCCCCAGAACTGCCTATTAGCTTAATCTCAGTGCCCACCGCGCCCCCCCCCCGCCCCCCCCCCCCCCCTCTCTCTCTCTCTCTCTCTCTCTCTCTCTCTCTCTCTCTCTCTCTCTCTCTCTCTCTCTCTCCCCCTCTCCCTCTCCCTCTCCCTCTCCTCTCTTTCTGTAGCTTCTGAGAATCACAGTTCACTTAGAGTAGTGGTTCCCAAAGTGTGGTCCCTGGACCGTCAGCGTCATCTGGGAATTTGTTAGAAATGCAAATTCTTGTGCCCCTTCACAGACTTAGAGAATCAGAAACTATGGGGTGGGAACAAGCAGTCTGTTAACAAATGCCTCCCCAAGTGATTCTGATGCATGGTAAAGTATGAGAATTTAGAGGAAAGCCTGGGACTATTGCCAGCTCTTCTGAATGATGTGTTACTGGGATAGATATATGTGTGCATGTAGCTACATTTATGATCCAAAATTAAGAGTAATAGTTATTAGTATTACCTAAATGATCAAATTTAATGATATATGTTGTCTCAATGTTACAGCCATATGACAAAATACATTAGGTACCATGGTTGTTGGACATTCTTTTAAAAAGCTAGTATTTACTAGTAAATTTAGTATTTCACTAGTGTTTCTTCTGGTCAAGGTTAATTGCAGATTGTTCATTAGCACTAACATTTAGCCTAGTCATCATTCATTCTCTTGTTGAGTGGTTGCAGAATCATGTGAACATATTAGATTTCTAGGATAGAGTCGAGGTAAAACGATACTGGATTAAGTTCTACAAGAATTCTGTAGGAATTCTTTCAACACTCTCAATAAGAGGTATTAAAGATTGGGTTTCTGGTTTATCAGTAGTATAGAATCTTTTTTGGTCTTTGACCCTGTGCTACATGTCCCAACAATGTTGTTGCTATTATTAACTATCCCTTAACATTGGAATCCTTGAAGATATGGTAGTTTATACTGCCATATTAATAGCAGGTTTTTAATCTCTGGCAATTTGAAGGTAGGTTTTGGTGTTCAGAAGCAAAACAGATTTCATGTTTTGCATCCCAACCTAAAAAGACATGGAGCTTATTTATTTTAAAAATTTTCTAAGGAATAGTTATACAAACATTAAAAAATATGTTTGTTTCATGCATGACATTGGAAAGTGATAAAATTGACACCTGCAGAGGTGGGTGTTTAGAATTACAGTAGAAAGAAAGCGATTGGCCTTCGTTCTCTCAAAAGGCTGGATAAAGCCTTCTGATGGAAATAATTTCTCTGATGTGTGTTTGGCTGGTTATCTAAATATAGCTCTTAGTAGTCTTAACATGCTTGTGAGGCCTAGAAAGCAAGAGTGTATTAGTGATAACCTTTAAAGAAAATCAGTGACTCATCCACTGTGTTTAAAGTAATTCAGTGATGGGTTTTTTTAGGATTTGATCTAAATCTGATTTCCAAACAAAAAAGTTCAAGATGTACAAGTAAAGGCTAACGCTTGTAAACTCCGTTTTAAATAAAATAAGGGGAGAGGAAGAATGGTTTCTTTTAAAGTCAACTTTTTCACAAATTTCCTTGATTTAAAAGATCAAAGTAAGTTTTAAGTTTCCATTGTATGGATGAAAAAACCTAGGTACTCAAAGTTTAAGTACCGAAGAGTGTTTTGGACACAGTTCACTTTTCTTTACAAATGCAGAAAGAGAAGGGAAGTTTAGATGTAGGGAAATTATTTTGGAAAATATTGTTGCCTAGAATATTTGATTACTAATAAGTGTTTTGGAAAGAGTTATTGGGTAATACCAAAAGGAAACAAAGTAGAAATTAAGTACCGTATGCTGTTCTGAAAATCCTTTGTAAAAATAGGAACTTTTGCTGAAGTTTTACAAGTATTTTATTGCATCTGTGATTGGTAAAATCTATAAATGTATTGCATGTGTTATCTCCATGAATCGGCCAAGTAGATTTTAATACATCTTGAGATATACTAATGGAGATACATCTCGAAGTGCTGTTTTACCTTAGAACATTTCAAAACTGACATCTTGTATTCAGAATGTTTGACATTCCAATGTATTATGTGGGGAGTAACTTTTCATTAATAAACTACAAAGAAATGAGTTACAAGGATGATTCATAAACTATAGAAATACAGTAAAAACTCATTGATATGAATCTCCTATTTTATAATTTTTTATCTTTGATGTACTGTACTGAAGCATCTATTACTTACTATGAAGAGCATTTCTGAAGCAAACTGACAACAGAAACAAGGGAAATCTGTTTCCTTTTCACTAACACCAGTAAAATTGTAAGCATCCCCCAGATCATATTATTAACCGATTTGCATGCAAATATGATAGGAAAGGAACTACATGGGTAGCTCTAGTGGTGGTAATAGTGTGTGTGTTTGAAAGTAATATAACTGCATTTGTGTTGAACTCTTAAGACTGACCAAGTAATCAGGTCAAATTGTCCTTTCCCAGTAAAAGCAAATTTCTCAGGTTTAACCTTTTTCTAATACAAATTGTTAGAATTTTTTTCTCAGACAAGATCTTCAAACAGGTAAACAGGTTGATATATGTGTTGGTTCATCCTTGGGCAGAGGAACTGACTAGAGTTAGATGGCTTTCTAAACCCCTTCCAGTCAGAGAGTAACATTGTTAGATTATTATTCAGTGGTCTAATGATACAAGAACAGTAGCAATAATTTGTGATTGCTCAAAAGGTTGAAGTTGAAAAAAGGAGATCCTGCCTTCGACTGTCCTAGAATTTTTTCTTCATTGAAGTCCTCCTTTCCACATTAATTGTCATTATTGCTTGTTTATCCTGTGACTTCAATTTTCTGATCAGGTGATCAAAAAACCTAGATTAAGTACACAGAGTTTTTAAAAACTTGTTTTGCTGATCAACCTATGTTTAGTAGTTTTGATCAATAAAGTTTAGATTTGATTAAGTAACTTAGTTTCTTTTAAAGTCTCAGCTCACATATAAGTTTGTAGTGTTGAAAAATTGAAATATCAGCATTCAGGTTTAATCACGTTATTTGATTAAAAGAAATCAAGCTATAGAAATAGAAGCAATAGGGTACTACATCTGTTCAAGTGTAAAATTACCCAGTGAATATTTAATTATGTCAGCTGGATGTCCTTTTTATCAACTGATAACTTTAAAAAATTGTTACCTGTATTACCTTCCCATTTAGGTCACCACAGAGCATTGAGTAGAGTTCCCTGACCTATATAGTAGGTTCTCATTAGTTACCTATTTTATACATAGATAACTCAAAGTTTAGGTATTGATGAGTGTATTGTAGTATTTGAGAGCAGTGTGTTCTGACTTTTCTTTACAAATGCAGAAAGAGAAGGGAAATTATTTTGGAATACATTGTTGTCTAGAATATTTGATTCCTAATAAATATATGTATACATACAGCTGATTCACTTTGCTGTACAACATTGTAAAGCAACTGTACTCCAGTAAAAATTAATTAAAATTGTTTCCTGTATTAGAGATCTGAAATAAAAATAGAGACTAGTATTGATTCCCTACAACATTCCAGTAGTTTTATGATTAAAAACTGACATATGAAATAAATTGCTTTAAATGGTTAATAATTCGGTGGATATGAATTCTAAAGATTTTTATGCTGCATTTAAAATGTTAAAGCTGTATTGTTCATTTGATCAGTGTTTAAGCACCAATCAGTCCTGAAAACTTGAATTGGATTCTGAGAGGTAATTGCACTGACTCATTAACTTACCTCAGATGTCATTTAGTTTCCAAAGTATCTTCTTTTTCTCATGATTAACATAAAGTCATTTTTTATCTTAATTGCAAAAGGATATGGTATTTATTGAAAAATATGCAAAGTGAAAGAAGCTAGACACAGAAGGCCCCATACTGTAGGATTCCATTTATATGAAATAATCCAGAATAGGCAAATCTATTGAGAGAAATCAGATTAAGGGTTGTGGGGAGGGAATAGTAGGAGGTGACTGCCTGATGGGTACTGGTTTCCTCTTGGTGGTGAAAATATTCTAGGACAAAAATAGTGTTGATTGCACAACATTGTGAATGTACTAAATGCCACTGAATTGTTCACTTTAAAATGGTTAAAATGGTAAATTTTATGTTATGTGTATTTTACCACAATTTTTTTAAAAAGGGAGTATTTGCAGTCATTACTCAAGGTAAAAAGTACAGTGTTCTCAAGTGTGAAATGCTTAAGCTATGGTTTAGAATTAAATTACAGCATTAGTGATGTAACACATTTATTCAAAGTCCTAATGAAATTCATGAATTCCTTCACGGAAGTACTGCTGACAGCAGTGGAAATAAAGTTGTAATTCATCACAATTTTCTTATATTTAATACAACTGTAACAGTGAGTAATTGGCTTCCATGTTAATGTTCACTTTTTACTTTTTCTTATGATTCCTTGCGGCACATCTCAATCACATTTTTTAAAGATCCGTATTTAAAATCATGCTTTGAAAAAACATTTGTATAGTTTTCATGATCATTTTTTATGGTTTTATACTTCATGTTCCTTTTAAAGAGCAAATACACTGATGTATTAGATAAGACTAAATAAATTGAACTGATGTATACATTTTGTATTCTTTTGAATTGTCTTGTGGGAAGATACTTGAATCTTGGCATTGGTAGGTACTTTAATGATCATTTAGTTTCTCATTTTATATTTGGAGAAATCAAAGCTGAGTTTGTCAGTGTTCGTTCATTCAACAAGAATTTCTTGAGCACTGATGCCAGGCACTGTGTAGGCTTGATTCTGGAGGGTTGTGATATGCCTCATGAATTACTGCTACTTCCCCCTCCTCCTATGACTACTGTGTATCTGGTAACGTGGACAAATGGACAAGTTCCAAAGAAGGAAAGGCGTTTAGGCCCTTTAAATGGTTCTTCATATGTATCTTCCTCAAACACTAAAGACATATTCTTTAGTACAGTAAAATACACATGATTATAAATAGTCTATTACTTGAGGAATGCATTTATTAACAAGTTTGCTTTCATGACTTTAGGAAGGAGGTATTTTTAGATTACAT